GTCTCTCTTCTCTCTCTCTCTCTCTCTCTCTCTCTCTCTCTCTCTCTCTCTCTCTCACATTTGAAGAAAAGTATATTCCATATGGAAACTCTTTGTGAAGTAGTGCCATTGCCTTTGCTTTCATCATGCAAGCATCTTGTAGTGGAAATTCACTCAGTGATCAGTTAGTGGAAATCATATATGTATTGGAAACTTCCCATTGATTTAGTTGGTTATAAAGTGTATTCGATTACGTGGTATGATTCATACCATTTAACTTGGACACGTTTCAATGGCTTTTGGCATGTGTTTTCACATTGTCGGAACGATCCGCGTGTCTGACCCTCTAGAAACTTGGGTGCTTATGCTTAACGTTTTTTGTTGACACATTACTATGAGAGTAGTTAAATTACTCTACACAAATTATATTGGCATTTCTGACACTTGTATTCATATCAGACGTTGACGCAAACATGTCATGTCTGAAAGGCAATTTCTGAACCTCCCATTTTAAAATTATAGATGAACATGTCATGTCTGAAAGGTAATTTCTTCTATTGGCATTTTTGACACTTGTATTCATATTAGACGTTGACGCAAAATATATATATTTCTAACATAGGTTTCATAGGGTGATTATATGCTTTCATTTAATTGTTTACTTTCTTCTTTTGATTCTTGGTGGGATTAGAATCTGATGAGGCTCATACTCGTCCGCATTGTTTTTCTTCATTGTAAACAGAAATCTGTTTAATTCTTACTTATCTCATATTATTGGGAGTAAGAAATGACCTTTCTTGTTTTGGAATGGATCTAATGATATAATAGTTCATTGAATGACCAAAATATCCTTCTTGTTCTAGAGTTAATGTGAAATATTGTTTAGTTGTTTATATGATATTACTACTTGGGAGGAACTAGTTAGGGATTGAGTAGTGAGCACATGGGGTTGAAAATGGTCGTTTAATACTCTAACAAATAGGGATGGTGCCAGAAGTACTAATATCCAAAGAAATGACCAAAACAAATGTTTTCCCTTTATTGTATTACAACTTTCTCCTATCTGATTTTCTGTTGTATTATTTATTTGAAAATCCAGTGATTCAAAAATCACGATCCAGATCAGGTACGCCCGATCTAGATCAGGAGTTTGTGGGAACCAAACCGGTTCTGGTCAAGTATTGGTACCGGCTGTTTCCCTGCCTTAAAGCCCTTTTCCTATTTTTGGTCATGTTTAATTGTTTTTTTGGTGTGGTCCAATGTTTCAAAGCCCTTACTACTATTTTCTTATTTTATTTTTTAATATTTTCATGGGTCGGAGATCTGAGACGTGATCAGTGGGTGGACGATCCACCCCACCGATCTGTTTTCTTTTAAACACATAAAGTTTTACATTCTTTTACTAGAATTTAAGCTTCCTTGCTTTTCTTTTCTGTTTTCATATTTCCTTATCAGATGGTGTTTGTCCTGCATGTGCCAATGACAGGTTCAGTTATGTTACTATGCTCTTGGTTTCTCTGTCTTTATTTTTTCCTTTTTTTAACCTGAGATAAGTCAAAATTTAAAAATATAGCTTGACTAATTTTTGGGATATTGGGTCTTCCAGGTGGATGCATAAATATCTCATGGTGTCCTTTGTCCTTCTATTAGATTCTGCGCATGTCTTTATCAGTTCTCTAAGACAAAATGTTATTTGTAGGAACTGTTGGCCATTCAGCAGGAAGGTCCAAGGGCAATTGGTTTTTTTGGGACACGGAATATGGGTTTCATGCATCAGCAGCTTATTGAAATTCTGAGCTATGCCATGGTCATAACTGTATGCTATTCTTAACTTTGGAGTACTTCTTAATATGTATGTTCATGTCTTTTGCTTTTCATTCCTTTCGGGTTGCATCAATCAGTCCAAATTGTAAATGTTAAAGTTTTCCTTTCAGAAAAATCACATTTTCACTTCAGGAGCTTCAGGGACTAATGCGGCTGTTATCAGAGGTGCATTAAGAGCAGAGAAACCCGAGCTTCTAACTGTAATCTTACCTCAAAGCCTCAAGATGCAACCACCTGAGAGCCAGGAATTGCTTGCTAAAGTAAGACATGAATGCTGTTCAAATAAGCATATCACGCAATGATATTTCTCTCTTGTTTTTTTTTTTTTGTTTTTTTTTTTGAGCAAAAATTATTTATTCATTTTTTAAGATTGGGGAGAAATTAATCACTTGTGAGCTATTGTCCTTATATTATGGATATTGATAGGGTATGTGCAATTTGACTAAAGATTAAAGCTGAACCAGATTTGGTTGATCTGGAGGCACACAATATGGCCATGGGTTGCCATGAAAAAACAACTATATTGGGCAATTATGGTGTAATCTTTTGGCTTGAAATGTGGGAATCATCTGGCTGCATTACTTGAAAAGCAAAACATTGTAGGTCACTCTACTAGAAATTCTGAATGTGTGAAATCTTTATATTAAGTTCCAATCCTTTTCTGTTTTTGGCTTTCATCTTTCTTGTATGTGATAATTTCTTTTCGACTGCCTTTAGTGTTGGGCTATGATCATCTTCCTCCCATGAAGTGAATAATCAAATAGTTTGTACGATTTAATAAGATGATTTTTTTTACTCACTTGTATTCAACTAAGGTATTATACAACTGTTGTCACTTTTTTGACTTATTATGGAGTATTCTAACATTCTTTTGTCACTTCTGATACCCTAGTTTTATATATGTGGTCTGGAGGGGGTCAATGTGGTTAGGGGTGGCAATGGGCTGGATGCCCTGGACCTAAAAAACTAGGGCCTGAGCCACAAAATGTGGCCTGAGGGCTGGCCCAGGCCCAGCCCTTATTTTTTCATCTTCTTTGCGTTGTTTTCTTTTAAATTTACCCGGCGCTGCACAGCCCAACCCGGGCCGGATAGGGCCAGGATAAGGGCTGGGCTAGGGCCCAGCTCAGGCCCGGTCCATTGCCAGCCGTAAATGTGGTCTGGATGTGTCGGTTTTAAAATGGAAAAGACTTATGCTTAGATGCTTTAGATATTTTCGGAATGTTCAACTATCTCAGAAAATCAGATAAATAAGGAGATGTCTAATGGCTTTCTATTTTTCCAGATTTGTGTCATGGCATCTTCTCTTCCTAGGTGCCACGGCCTCTTGTCTAGCTCATCTAATCAACAGTTAGCAAATCTTATTCTTCTATTAGACTATGCCAAACCAGGAGGAACTCAGGAGTTTCCACCTTAGCAGAATTATTAGGGCCTCTAATGGTTCTGTGTATTTCTTTGAAATTAAACCATCTCAAAAGGAAGCTGTAATATCTTCATTGGTGGTTTGTGCCCATGGGTTTAGGCCTTGAATCTTATTTATCTCTCTGAGAACAACCATCGTGCATTCCCGAAACAAAACATCCTCTCCCCAATTCTCCTCAATTCTCCCCTGGCCAATGCACTTGAGAAAAGAATGCTGAATTCTTTGTTTGAGAAGTCCATCAACCTTTTTCAAAAAAATTTCTTTGCATGACACTTTTGCTACTCGAGTTAGTATCTTTGAATACTGTTGCTCTGTTCTGCCTTGAGTCCCCAAAGGATAGCTGGCATGCCACCTTCTTAATTGTTCACGCACCTTCTTAATGGTTCCCCTCTTGAGAAAGGAGCTGAAAGCCCAATCACATGATGAATCTGCTTAAAAGAAAGGATGGCTATAAAGAAATTTAATGTCCTGCTAACATGCTATACCATCTCCTCAGTTTCTCAAACAGTGATGGCCAATCTGGAGCCAGGTAATTCTGGGCCAAAAGACCTGCAGTCCCCTGATTGTCTTATTTTTTATGGTATTTAGATTTGTTAAAACTTACCCAGGCTCAGGCCCCTGGGTAGTTGGAGCTCAAGTCCAACTTTTTAAACACTACTCTGGTGGAACATTGGAGACAATAAAAAATTGGAGGCCATGTACTGAAGATTTTTCTTGTTTACGCAACCTTTCCACATTGAGTAGTGTTCATCTTTAACTAAATAGTAAAAGAAGCTTATCGCCGAATAGATTCAGAACTTTAGGGACTGCCTCAGCCCACTTGGCAGTTGAGCTTCCGTTCTGCAGAATTTTAACATATTTGTTCCATGTAATTTTTTCAGATTAATTATTTAGGAGCTAATTTCCCTTTGTCTTTTTTGTTTTCATTTTTGCAGGTTCAAAATGTTATTGAGAAACCTCAGAATGATCATCTCCCTTTGGTTGAAGCTAGCAGGTTTGAACTTTCCTGTTCCTTTGAAATGTTCCCGGTTATTATTGGTATTTATATTTCGTCTTCCACTGTTAAACTATTGACACTTCCCTGTTTCACATGTAATTGGAGATTATGCTGTGAGCATGAAGAAGCTCTCTCTCTCTCTCTCTCTCTCTCTCTAACCTGATTGTAAATTGATGTGATGAACAGGCTATGTAACATGGACATTCTCTCTCATGTTCAACAAGTCATATGCTTCGCGTTCCATGACAGCAAGTTGCTAATGGAAACATGCCAAGAGGCGAAGAACTTGCGTAAGATTGTTACATTGTTTTACCTCGATTGATACATCGCATATAAAAGATTTACAAGAGAATTTATGAAAATGAAACACCGAAACGGAAATCTCATTTGTAAAATAGGTTCGGTGGCTTCTTTGCCTGTTTTTTGCGTTGTTCACTTTTGTCTATGTCACTTGGGGGGATTTAAGCTATAGGGGAAGAGTGCTGTGATGGAGGGCCTGTAAGAAAGTTATCTTCCCATTCAATTTTTTTGCGATATTTTCCCATTCTTAACATGAAATTTATTGATACAATAAAGTAAAGCTCCTTTTTGTCACTTGTTTAAGGAGCAAATCTTTGAATGGAGACCTTGAATTTTGAGAAGATCATGGAAATGAGATCAATAAATTTGTGTGGTTTTATATGTAGAGAAAGGAGGTAGACAGATAATATGACTATATGAATAGGTTCTATGCTTCCCATACAACATAAAACTTATATACTTTTCTTTGTCCAACCGTCCATTCATCTCCTTGTCCAACCGTCCATTGTGAATGGACGGTTGAGATGCTTTCAATCACAATGTCACATCTCTACATTATTTTAGTTTTAATCTTTTTTTCATTATTAAAAAAAACAAAAAAAAATTTCTACAAAATATTTTGACACCAAATTTTGGGTGTCCACTCCTCTCTTAAACTCACACTTTTAAAAATATGAAAACAATATTCTTAGTAAAATAAAATGACCAAAATGCCTTTTGAAATATTCATGGGGTATTTCAGTATATTATATTTTATCAAAAAAATATTTTTAATTTTTGTTTAGGTGTGCCCCATTGCTAAGATGGCACGTAACAAATTTTATATATATATATATATATATATATATATATATATATATATTAAGTAAAAATAAAATAAATACTTAGAGACATACAATACTAATACACTACGAAACGGTGAGGT